TATACCATTAGAACCGTCTCATCAAGACGAATCGAATGGCGGTAAGATCATCTCTCTACGATTAATATTGGCGAAGTTACGATACAATAAAGTTTTAAGTATAATTCTGGCTAAAATTATGTTAATTTTTGGCCGGAATTATGATATACAAATATAAGAAATTTTTTATATAGTCACATCTCTTTATAATCACCAAATATGGACTGTCCCAAATGTGTGACTATAAAGAGAGTTGACTGTAATCTAATTTTTTTTTTACTGAATATTGTTTAATAAATTAATTAAAGAATCACATTTAGATAGTCAAAAAGATAAATTTCTGAAATTATTGCCGTTTTCAGAAATGTTGACATTAGAATGTCGATCATTTCTATAAATCGAACACACCGAACACACACCGAACACAGCAATTAAAATTAAAAAAAAACAAATTTTCCTTTAAAAAAAGCAAAATTAAAACTTTAGTAATATATTTTTAGGTAGTGTGCAAAAAAAAATGTATAAAAATTATATTATTTGCATATATGTATTCACTTGTATTTGCTTGTATTTGCCAATGTTCGGTGTGTTCGGTGTGTGTTCGGTACAAATTTTCATATTTTCAATTTTATTCATATCTAAAAAGTGACAAAAATAGTTTTTATATAAAGTTATGCATGAATACTTCAAGTTTGCATAATTTTTTGTATGTGTTCACGGTGTGTTTGGTGTGTTCGGTATAAAATGGTCAAAATTTCAGATTGTCAACATTTCTGAAAACGGCAATAAATGGTTAGATAAAAAAAATGATGTTTTTTAATAGTATAGTTGGTTCATCAACTGAGCTTTATTAACAAAAAATTTAATAAAACATTATTTTCTTTTATAAAAGAATATATATATTCATAAAATTGTAAATTGTATACAGATAAAATATACATAACTAATATACATATTTATTCAATATATAATAAAAACACTTATTTCGTGGCACAATCAGGTCAAATTTATAGTACTGGCCAGAATTATTAGTAATTTTTTGTTAAAATTATAATTCTGTCCAGCTTTACAAATTTGCCTGGCCAACTCAAATGCTACACATATTAATCGGTAACAATACCCTAATGTTTAAAGTGAAAGATCTGAATTATGCATTTTTTTTCATTAGCTTCTTTTCTGTATTTTTCAAAAATTTTAATAAGCAAAAATATTTTATAACTTTTTATTGGAATCTCAAAAAAAAGTCTAATATAAAAGTAGCAAAAACATATAAAATTAAGAACGAAGCAACCAGTGATTCAATTTTGATAAAAAAAACTTCGAATGTGTAACAGATTTTAAGTTCTGGTGGTTTATTGATCAGTCTGTGTAACCTTAAGTTGACACCGTTTATTTCCACTCTATACCGGACTAAACCTCCTGGAACAGAGGGTTCGCTATATCCTTTTTATCAAAGAAATTTTGTACTTTACAACTTTTTCACTCTCCTAATAATAAATATCTAATATTTCTTTTTTCAGACAATACTGTATTTACTCTATAATGCTTAAAAGAAATAATACTTGCGTTTTTAATTATTTGTTTCGTTTATTAGCAAAAATTATAAATAAACATTGAAGATACGATAAATATTTCCAACTTGACAATGTTTATGTATTTGACAATATATTAATTAATCAAATCGAGATTTGGGAAATTGATTATTTAGAAAAATGTCATTTACATTCATAGATGCGTTATTCCTTCATTATATGTGCAAGAAATCGTTTCGTCTTTGAAGAAGTATGGTGTAACATTTGTGGAATATTGTAATACATATAGAGAATTAGATAGTACAAATTTATTTACTTGGACAAGATAGTATGAGAGCAAAAAATATACTTTGGCAAAAACATTAGGTTAGATTTACGATACTGGTTAACCATGCTTGTATATTTCTTTTAAATTTTTAGGATGTTTATCAGTGCGACACGATGATCTGATTGGACGTATCACGCGATCAGGGGTCAACCTGACACATATTTCAGACGTGCTTTAATAATATACAAAACTGTATTAAACTACAAGTTGAATAGACCTTTCGCAGGATGAATTAGTTAAAAGATGAATTAGTTAAAAACTTGATCTAGTTGAATCATTATCAAACAGGCCAGTAATTTAGAAAGAAAAAACTTTTTTAACGAGCAGATTATCGAATCATCGAGCAGATTAGTAATAAGAAAAAAATGTGGGGACTTTGATCATTATGATCAAAAAAAGAAAAAGTTACGCAATCTAACGCGCAATTGCCGCAGTATAATTTGTTATATAAAATGGGAATTTTTCTTATTGTAATTTGTTTTCCTTTTACTTGTGTAATCTTGTTTGTATGAGAATATATAAATAAAAAATTGCCGCTTGACGCAAAGCTTTCTTTTTTATTTCTTTGTTTCTTACCTTTTATTTTTAATATATTTTCCTTGATTCCTTAATAATACGTTTTTAACTGTGAAATAAGAACTCTATAATGGAATCATTTCAAATAAACTTTAAGGTCTCCTGTACTTCAGATCCTACTGTGCTTCGAAAGCTAAATTTCAAAAATTCAGACCTAACGTATTCTTCTTTATATGCTAAGGTATTGATTTTACATGCTTATATTTTTTTTGATATCTGAAAGTGAAAAGTTAGACTCAATATAGTATCCTGAGTAATAATCTAAGCGATTTCTTTACTATCAAAGCATGATATGCATAACGTTAATAAGCTTTGATTCTTTAAGTAAAATTTTGACATGAAAGTATTATTAATTTTGCTGCGGAAAAATATTTACCATTTTTTTTTCCAATTTATTTTTTAAAATTCTTAGCTTTCAGCTCTTTTTAAATTGGATAATTTTATAATTCGATACACTGATGAAGATGAGGATGCTATTTGTATCGATAATGATAAAGAACTCAAAGATGCCATTGACCATGCTTTAAATTTAGGCAAAAACAATGCTAGAGTTGTGATTAGGTTAAGCTTGGAAAGAATGGACACTCAAGTTTCCAATCGACAAGACCCTAGCGAAAACTTAAATGATAAAAATATTGTAGCAGGTAATTGTTTAAAATATTTTAATGTTTTTACTAACTATAAAAAAAGCTTGACATTTTTGCATTCTCTATGAAATTCTATGAAAAGGCTCTGATGCTGCGCCACAAATCGATAAATCTCAATCATCATCTGAATTTGGTACAAATAATGAATACGCCAATCCTGAAGAATATGCTTTCGAAAGAGTATTAAATACAGGAATCAAAAATCTCCAGGATATGGTACAAGCTTTCGTAACCCAGTTGAGCAACACCATAGAACGGGATTTGTCAAATAAGAATCTTAACGTGTCTCAACCACATCAATCAAATAATGGTGGCAATTCTCACAATGTTAAAAGTAATGATTCAATTACCAGTTCTTCATCTGAGACGCGACAAATTCCTAAAGTTACAGATATTCCAGCTTCTTCAGGTATGATAAGTCACCTTATAATATATATATATATATTAAAATGACCAAAATTATTTATATATTATTTACATCTTTTATAATTTCTTACAGAACCTGTTGTGCATCATGGTGTAATGTGTGATTGCTGTAAAAATATTATCCGTGGAATGAGATGGAAGTGTACATCTTGTTTAAATTATGATTTATGTCAAGTTTGTAAATCTAAATCACCAAGTATTCATCGTCATTCGAATAAGCATGCGTTCCAACCTATCCCATATCCAAGAACTTCCAATCATACTCCCCGTAAGTGTTATCAACATATTTTTTTGAATTTCCTATAATACAAGATAAGATATTTTACTCACGCCATATTTCATCATCACCTAATATTAAATTAGGTCCAGAAAATTTGCATTCTGCTACTTGTGACTACTGTGAATCAGTTATCTTTGGAATACGTCATAAGTGTATTAATTGCCCAGATTTTGACCTGTGTAATAATTGCATTTGTATGTAAATTTAGGACATTTATTTATCATTAAAGTTAAGATAATTATTTATTTACGCTCAAATCAATTTTAGCGCTTGCACCAACCCAGCATCCCAATCACACATTTGTACCTATCCATAGACCTGGTGAACCTGAAATCAAAATTCCGGGTATTTATTATTACTACTATAACTTTGTGGACTTTGGGAATAAATTTAACATCATATTTTGTTTAAATCTAATTTTTTTAGACGCTTCTTTTCATCCTGGAATTAGATGTGATGGTTGTCATAAATCAATCACTGGTGTTAGATTTAAGGTACAGGTTGTTTTATTAATATAATGTGATTTATTTATAGCGTTAATTCAAACACACTTTTTTTTTAAAAAAAAAATTATTGAATAGTGCGGAAATTGTCCTGATTTTGATCTTTGTGGAAATTGTGAAGCGTCTCCTCTTAAAAAACATGATCCTAATCATGTTTTTATCAAGTTCAAGAGACCTGTTCCGTCTCCAATATCATCAACTACCCCTTTACTTCCGTTATTTTATTCGCGTGCAGATGTCAAAATCTGCAGATCAAAAGAATGCGGACAAAAATCAATTTCGAAAGAAATGGAATCTACTACAAATAACAGTATAGCTGAAGCTAGGCTCTCTTCTGCAACTTTTGCCACTCAATCTACCAGTCAAAAATCGCCAATTTCAATTGTCAGAGCAACTAGGTAATTAATTGTTATTCACATCATTAATTTATTATTAAATCATTACTGAATTATGTATATTGTATAGTGATCCTGTTGTTAGTAGAGCGCCAATTGACCTCTACGATCAGTTGCTTATCACTTCGACCACTTCGCTTGAGTCATCTACAAAACCTAAATCGCAAAACGATAGTTCATCTGTGTCATCTTTATGTTCCAAACAAGTTCCACTTCCCGAAATGTCTTCTACGCCTTCTCCATCTGTTTCAAATGTTAATACGAGTCATACCGATTCCAATAACTACTTCACTCCTTTATCCCTTAAAACACCCGTAGCAGAAACAATTTCAAAGAATCCATCAGGAAAAGCTTTTGATGCTTCGATGTTAAATTCACGTTTTATTGAAGATGTAAACGTACCAGATGGTACAGTACTTGTACCACAGGCTCAATTTTTAAAGATCTGGAAAATGTCTAATAACGGCAGTATCGCTGTAAGTGGTTATGATAATTTTTATTAAATTATATTATACATTAATATTAATAATAATATTTATATTTTTAAATGTTAGTGGCCTGAAAGTACAGTTTTACATTATGTTGGTGGACAGCGCATGTTCAACGATGCATTAATTAAATCTGGTGAGGAACCAAAGATCCTTGTTGGTTCTGTTGAAGTTGGTAAGACTGTTTGTATTTCCGCTGACCTCCAAGCGCCTTCCGAATCCGGGAAATACGTTTCGTTAGTATAATATTAATTATCCCCTAATAGACCAATAATTCATCAACTTACATATTAATATTTAATTTTAACATTATAAAGATTTTGGCGATTGACAGACAGTGATGGTAATCGATTTGGACACAAAGTCTGGTGTGATATTACGGTAGAAGTTGACGATCAATCATCTAGCATGTCTTCATCTTCAATGATCTTCCCCGTGTTGAATTATGATCAACAGTCTGTTTCGTTTAGAACCAAGGATACCTCAGCTCCAGTAACCACCTTTGCATCTTTAGAAATTGGAAAACTTCAAAATGAAGATGATTCTTTACATGATCAATTAGCGGCATATAACAAAAAATCAGAAATCATATCTGAAACTGAAAGTCAACCTGATTTTGATGATTCAGATGAAGATTCTGACGATATTTCTTCGATTACTTCTAGCATAGATTCATCTCAAGATTTTATTGTTGTAGAAAAGGAGTCGGATAATGATATGCAACGTGGAAGAAGTGTACAACCGTATATTATAAGCCAAGATTCAAATGAAGATAAAACTAGGAATGATGCACAATTACCTTCGATTGAAAATGTCCAAAGCTCATCACCTGTTGATATTTTAACCGTTGAAAATGCTGCGACATCGCAACTTGTTACTGACGAGCCTGAATTAAGTGGAGAAATTCCAGAAGAGTATCAAGAAAAATTAACACACTTGAATGACATGGTATGTGTTTTTTAATTAATTTATGTTTGTTATGTTAGATTTCAAGTCATTTAACATCAATTTAAATATCAGGGCTTTCATAATAAAGAAAAAAATCTTGAGCTTTTAAAAAAGTTTAACGGAGATTTGGAAAATACTATCAATAATCTTCTAAAAATGTAAATTATGAATTTTATTTAAATTTTTTGAATTTATATATATTCCTATATTATTCATGGTATTCTGTTTTTGAAGTTTCATATTTAAAATTAAATCATTTGATCACTACTGTTCAAAATAATAAAATGATTTATCAATTTATTAAATTTAAATATTTAAATTGTATATTAAAATTTTTTACTTATATATATATTGTAAAATCAAATAAATAATTTATTGTATTAATAAAATAAGTGTTTATTATTCTATTATTAAGAAAAAAGTAAAAGCTAATGTATTAATATACTTGCTATCAGAATTAATTACAGTATATGAAGCTTATATTATAATATATTACTTTACTAACAATATTAGTTTTTTTGACAATTATATAATAACCTTATTATAATTAGAGATGATTATGGTTCAGTAGACCATGGTTTGAACTGACTTATTGTTCAGTTTGCTTATACTCTGAACTGAACCATTGAACCATAGTTCAGTTTGTTCAAGTTGACTCAGTTTGAATTGAACTGAACCAAAATTATAAGTAAATAAAAATTTTTATCAAATAACTTAAATTACTTATATAATTTAATACTTCCTTTATTTATAAATTTGATATTATTCTTAGTTATACTATTGAATTGTATTTAATGATTATGTAATATCACTATACCATCTCTTTAAAAGATAAATCACTAAAATTAATTTCACAGCAATTAATATTTATGTTTATATGATATACTATATAAAATTATTTTTTTTTTTGTTTAAAGTGTATCTAATCAGAACTTTATTAAAATTGAAATCATACAAAATTACTGTTATACTGTACAAAATTAAAAGTTTTTATATTTATATATAAAAAAAGTTTTCACATTTGTATACAACATTAAAATTCTTGTATTTAATATTCTAATTGAAAAAATAATATAATTGGCATATTTTTTATTATGATTTTGATTAAAATTATAAATTTTAATTTATTATATAATCCAATAATATGAATATTCAATAGTATTTTATTCAATTTGCTCAAATCAAACTTTTAACACTAGTCAAAAACCAGGCAAACATGGCATAGTAGCCTTTATCTTTATTAAAATTATTCGAACTTATACAATTTACAAAAAATAAAAAGAAAGATATAAAAATAAAACTAACTAAAAACAAAGCTATATAGTCTCCTAAGAAAAAATAAAGTAAAA